CCATGTCTAGCAAGGAGACTCATTGATGTAAGGTAGAATAGCTAGTGTAGATGCCAAGTTATCCACAAATTCATGTTTCTCAATGAAATGACCTGAACCATTTAAATAAACAACAATAATAAAAGCCATAACTCTTGATCTTGTCAATATAATATACGTTTACAAATATCAAGTTATTCAGGGAATGCCATGATGACAAGCTCATTGCAAAGGTGTATCATTCATCAATGGCAACAGACTTGTTGATAGTGCCACCAGCATAAGTACTTAAAGCCAACATAGACAGATGTTTACTCAACAGCTCCAAGGATAATCTCCATATGCATGAGCATGGAAACAATTATATTTGCTACTCACCCATGTTTACTAAAATCTCTGCTCACACATTACTGGTTTCCACCTTTCAGTGCTTTAACAAAATTGAGAAATTCACACTCACTAGTTTGTAATTTTCCTCTTCCAATGTCCAAATATATTTTGTCCATACATACCAAAAAACAGCTTTTCTTTATGTTCACAGAGTGAAAATCAATGACACTTATTGTCCCAGGCCTCATGAGTGTTGCATAACAAATATTCTCAAAGCAAGCCAAGACTGGCTGAGATGGTCAAACCTCAGGATCTTGATTCGCAATGACTGACCATTAATTTTAGCAACAGAAAGTTCTTGGGATACCCATGCTAATCCACTTCATAAAATTTAACTTCAGCGCAGAGGCGGTGACAAAAAAAGCAAACTTTTCATATGAAACATCTGCTTGTTTACATTTGCATCGGAACATAGTAATCTGTGGCATCAACAATCTGATACTGAAACAGAGGTAGACGGATTTTTTCTCTCTTTTTTTTTCCCCCATAATATATAAGCTGTGGAAGCTACTGCAAAGCTTAGTAACAAAAACAAATATTTTTAATAGGTTATTATGAATGGCAAATTCTATGGGAATATTATCACACTATTTTTTTTAATTGCGAATTTACTGGAGTTCAATATTTTAAACTAATAATTTTAAGATAAACTAAAAAGTCAAGCATGAAATCTTTAATCTTGGGTTTGGATATAAAATGGAATATGGAGTTTTAGTTCTGAATTACAATGAAACCTAAAGAGTGTGTGTAAGTTTTTTTTTTTTTGTGACTTCCCAAGGCATGGATGGTAGCTCCATTGAGCTAATTATTTTGAAATCATAATTTTTTGGGAAATTTGTCAATGAAGTTATGTAGGGAGACTATGGAAGCTTGCAAGTTCTCAAACTCGTCAAAATTGGATGAAAATGAGGCACTCAACATAAGTTATTATACTAATAAAAAAATTTCCATAAGTACTTATTTGTTTTCTAAATTGAATAGGAAAAAAAAACAAAAAAAACTTGAAATGCCTTCATGATATTATCACCAAGATTGTCTACAGTGGTAATAATGTGGGCTCAAAAAAAGGGCTCGCTGGCGATTTCAAATTATGAAGATTCTACTAGCATTTTTATTTAGTGTACATGTTATCACACAAAAAACCCATCAAATCATGATCATGGAGGGAGTTGTTACTAAACTTCAAAGGTCCAAAACCAAGGAAAGAGGGAGGAAACGACAACCTTCAAAGATCCACTAATATAAGGCCTGTTTTAAATCACCATTACATTGTGGTTTAAACAAATAATAACAACAAAATTGATATCAGTCCACAAACACCGGAAAACCCATTCACCTATCCCAATGCGACCAATTTAACCCTTAAAGATACCATTTGAGGTTGGCAAGAAAATGCCTGGTCTGCTGATTGTTGCTTCCAAAGACCTAGAATCTGCAATAGGCTTGCAAACAGGCCCCAGAAAGAGGCTTTCCAATTTATTTTTTCTTTTTCTCTTTTGATTAGATGCATTTAAAAAATTCCTCTCAGAAATCCCCTGATCAACAACATACCGTAAAAAGAATTGAGAAAAAAAAATTAAATAACATAAAGAAGGGACTTTTCAGATTTACAGAAAGCTAAATCAAACTTCATATGTTTATTTAAGGACAAAACTTACAAACAATCATTGAGAGAATTTCTACGGACTTCACTCATGGCTCATCACCATCCAAAATCCATCAAACAACCATATCCAATAGTGCTTACATTTTAATTTTTTTTTGCAAATCAGATTTATCTGAAATTTGGGTGTGTGTACATCTAGCAATCTCGCACCTAAATAAAATATTAAAAAACACTTATCAAAAAACAAAATGATGAAAATACCCCTGAAATATTCATAGGGGTAATTTGGTCATTTTTATTATTTGAATACTACCTTTTTTTTGTAAAGTATCGGACAATCGTGACCGTTTGATGGAATTTGGAGTTTGGACGATGACGAGCCATGAGTGAAATACTGTAGAACTTCACTCGAGTGTTTTTTAGTATTTTCCTCTATTTAATATTAGGTGTAAACTCATTTTCTTTGGGGGACCAATTAATTAATTGGTACCAAATGATTCCCTTCTGGTCCCTAACTAGCTTTTGCAAGAATTCACATATGCCCATAAGGTTCTCGCTCAGAATACAATTTTCACGTATTTGGCTGTGTCAAATGAGCACAGCCATGATAGAAACGATCCTATGGCTTGACAAGCCACACTGGTGACTCGTCACTTGCTCGGTCTTGTTTAGAACGAGCCATAAAGCAAAGCTTGGCTCTATTTATTGATCATATGAACCATGGATTATTCAATGCAACAACTATGCTTCATGTGGTAACAAACGCTTCCTTTCAGTGATGATCAGTCACATTATAAACATACAAAGACATTCATTTTCTCCTTTTGTTTAGCTGGCCCCAATTAGTTGGGAAAAGGCTTTGGCAATGATGATGATGATTTTCTCCTTTTATTACCGAAAATATTTTGTTAATCGGCCCAGGTGAGTTGCTTAGAACCTGCCCAAGCCAAGTGACTTTGGAGAGTCAAGCCATAAAGCGAAGTAAAAAGAATAAAAAAATTGTAAAAACTGTAAACGAAATTGTTAATAGAAAAATAAAAACAAAAAAATGTATAACAAAAACCATATTAAACATAGAGTAGGAACAAAATTGAGATTATTGGCATGAAAAAAATAGAAACTTTAAAAAAGGGAAGTTCATAACAACAAAACTAAGAAAAATAGTTGGAAACAAAAGTAAAATACTTAAAAAAACAAGTATATACAAAATGAATAAGTAAATTATAAAAAATGTATTTGATTTAGTAAGAATTAAATCAATTTTATGAATTTAAATGAAAAAAGGAAAGAAACATACCCAACATTTTGAGGCCAATCCCATGATCTTGGGGCTCGATGCGGATCGATGCCTCAAATCCTTGTCAAAGCTCCCTCAAATAACCCCAATCAAAACCCCCAAACCAGATTTGGGTTTTGATTTCAGATCAAGGAGATCCAAGCTCTTTAAAATTTGGGCTGAATAGTAAGTTCAAATTTCAAATCTCTCAAATCCTTATTTTTTATTATTATTTGTGAAAATCAAGGCTATGGTTCGATCACGAACACAAAACTAGGCTTAGGATCAAATTTAATTAAAGATCAAGAATTGTTTGCGAAGAACTCAAAATTTTCATAATTAGGCAGAATTTTTCAATCTCAGAAGTCTATTAAATTTTATGGTTATTTTCTCAACATATTCTTTCTAATAATTCCATCAGGCTAAAATTCTTACTAAGATGAAATTTAGCTCAATGAACAACCCTAAAACTCGAAATCAAAGAAACCAAGAAAAGCAAGGATGGATTTCTGCCACACTTTTAAACTCATCAGTGTACAGTACTCATCGTGACTAACCAGAGTACTATGAAACTCGGGCGACAAATCTGTGAAATAGTCACCCAAGTAATGTACATGTACACATTGTCTACACTGTCCCGGACTCGGCATGTTGCCAAGTCCAAGCACTCGGTTGATATTGAGTTGACTTGAGCAAGGTTATGAACACCCGTTCCAATTAAATTAGAATAGAATATGAGTCGATTTCTCCATCTACTTTTTTTTTTAGGGAAGGAAGATGCAATTCATACCTCTTTGAAGTGTAAAAATGCACTTGATTCTAATTATAAAAAAGACGCGGTTTCTATGAGTCCATGTAGAAATGAGTCACCTCTTAAAAATTTATTTTTGAGATGGATTTTTGGACATAATTTTTTAAGGACATGTAATCTCGAACATGGAGATCATGAATATGAATAAATAAATAAAATTTGAAAATTAGAAAATAATTTTATTACGAAAACATTTGGACTATTAGTTTCAATTGTTTTTAGATGGACCACCTATTTGCATCTATCTTTAAGATGGATGCTTATACCTCGGGGACCGCAAATGTAGAAATGTGGTCCCTGCCGCATGAAATAATTGTCCTTCTAAAAAAGATGGACACAATTCTAACATGCCAAATTTCATAGTAACAAATGCATTCCATTAAAAAACAAATAAAAAAAGATCCACAATGAGCAAGTTATTGGTAATCAACTCTGAGCCCAAATCTACACAAGCTACATATGCTGAGGTCATGCATTAAGAATCAAAGACAAATATTTACATATTGTTTTCCAGAGGACAAAGAATTTTGCCATCCGTAGCTTCAAGAGGATAATACAATAATTAGAGACTGTCTTAATAGCAGCTTACACACGTATGAACACGATTCAGATTGAGTTTCTAAGAAATATTAATATCAACAATTTTAAGGTATAGTGTTCTTGATGCAACCCAAGAAACTAATTACTTTTCAAATATAAATATCCACAAAACAATGATTTTGAACACAATATTCTTCAGCTCACTCATATGAGAACCACCTTTCAACCATCAGATCTTTCTTTCCCTTGTCAAATTATGAAACAATGAAATAACAATAATCCTATAGAGGAATCAAATCCTTTACATTCAATAATTTGCTCAACATTAAAAATTATTATAATTATTCAGTTGCTTGATTTATATATTATCGATCGAAATCAGTGTAAACGAGGTGTACCTCAGCAGTCCATATAAAGAAATCCAGGGGTTCTGGACAACGTTCCTTATTCATCCGGCCCTTTATCCAGATCAACAACTTCAAAAATAACCTAGAAAAAATTAAGGCATAATAGAACCTAAATTTAGCACAGAAATATTAGATAGCAAAAAACAATCCTACCCATAATTCCTTCCAAATAATCCCTAATCCATCACAATTTAGTGATAGATGAGGTTTATATAAGGTGCCCACCTTATACTATAAAAGTAAGACGCACCTCTAAATTTTGCTGGAAGATGTAATTCTAGTGTTGAAAACCTTACAATCGCTTGAAAATCCATATTCAACCCTAATTATGAAATTTGAAATTTCAAAAAAGGTGCAGATTGAGCAGATCTATAAACACTTTGAAAATCTTAAAAATAAACGGTCCATATAACTTGTTACAAGATGTACTATTTTAAGACTTGGAATTCCTTTTTTTTTGGTGGAGATGATTAATTCCAAGGTTTTCCAACTTAGGAACACTCTTTTCTACTGGATTTTTGACGTGTGAGTTACTTCTATAGTAGAAGGTTGCAACCTTATGTCAACCTTTTCCAAGAGACTACATAATTTAAAAAAAAAGGGAAAAAAAAGTTGATCGGATTAACAAAATAATTGGATGAATCAATGGAATAGACGGCATCGAAATCCAATAAAACTAATCCATAGCAAATATAAAAAATATAAAGAAACAATTATCTGAAGTACACTAGATTGCACCATCAAGAAATTCATCAAAAATCCACAATAATACAGCATGAAATGTTTACAAAAAAAGCAGAAACACATGACTGCCAACTTAGAGAGAAAACCAAGAACTTACTGGTATTAGAGCCAGAAATCGTCAAAAAGACGGCAGGAAAGCACAGAAATTCATCAGAAGAAGAAGGAATAGAGAATTCCGGCAAAAATCGTTCGCTTTCCGGAAAAAATTTCGTCAGACAAGCGATCCATGGATCGTAGAAGAGTCTACACACTTCTCTGAACACGTAAGAAAGGAAATGTGGACTTTCTCTTATAGGTAGCAAGCTCCACTCTGCCGTAAAATTCGTAAATGACTCTGATAGCCCTAACTTGTCCCTGATAAAAAATCTGAAATAACTAAAAAGGCCTTCACAAACTTATGAATGACCATATGACGTGTTCCTTCAATACAAGCTCCACCCTATCAAGATTTATTACCGTGGTGGACACATAATTTTTTTCTAATTAATTGAGATTGACTGCATGAATACCGCTTCGTAATGCTGCTCGATTAAGAACCTTTACTGAAATTGAAAATCCCTGTATGTTTTTTTATTTCTTTCAACCATGTCTTTTTGGGCATACCTTCACTTTTTTTTAGTCCTCCACTTGAACTAACTCACATTTCCTAACAAGTTTTGTATTGGGTCTACATCATACATAGCCAACTCACTTAAGTTTACTCTCTCTCATATTATTGCCTATTGGTGCCACACCTAAATTTTCTTGAATAGATTCATTTCAAATTTTATCCCTTTTTGTCTTGTCACTCATCCATCTCAACATCATCATCTCTCCACTAGACTCATTCTATTGTATACTGTTGTTCGACTGCCCAACATTCTGCCCTATAGAGCAAAGCTAACTCACAACTGTCCAATAGAACTTGCCTATCAACTGTGGCGTTCACATAAAATTTTAGTTGCACATTTCCACCTCGTCCATCTAATTCTAATTCTATATTCTTCAATCTCTTTATTTTTCTGGATTATCGACCAAAATATCAAAAGTGCATTTTTTATTATCAATGTCAAAACACCCAACATCTTTCTATAAATATCAATACCACCCTCATTTTCTCGTAATGTCCATTTTGCCCGTAGTAGCTTGAGCTTGGGAAAAATTTGGAAATGTTATGGACTCTTCAATTAAATGAATTTAGGAAGCAATTTTAAATAGACCTTGTGTGTTTAGTTTGCTTTGAGCCAATGTATGTGTGTTGCATGACCAATGAAACGCACTGATGAGTGTTATAAAAGTGGTCAAGTAGACACAGTACCGCTGGATTGGCAATCTTAGGAACCTTACAACAACCCAAGTCCCTCATAGTTTGATTTTTTTTCTAATTATTATTTATTGTATCCATACAGTGACCCAACTTGGGAATCCCTCGAGTCGAATCCGACCACTCCGAATCAGTCTGATATCATATTTTTAAATGCTAATATTAATGATTAGATTATCGCAACTGAAAAACCTAGATTGTCGTCATGGGAATTGGTGGTTTACATTTCTTATTATTTGAAGTTTGCATCTCAACATTCCATTCTTGAAAGCCGGTGTAGAAAAAATCGAACCACAATGGTTAACTGGACATGGAGCCATAAGCGGTTCAACCGGTCTAACTTGGCAAATCCCAGGAGATAAAAAAAGTGTTTAAAAATATAAAAAAAGATAAAAAAAAATCTAATAAAATATAGAATATATATTTAAAGCATGGTTAAACAAATCACATCCAAATGAAGTTAAAAATTAATGAAAAAATGGATTTTAAAGAATTGATTTGTGCCCATGGATAATTTGAAATTTTTCAAAAGTTATGAAAAATTGCATAAATAAATATTAATAGCCAAAACAATTTCCAATCATTTCAACTATGACGTAAAGCATTAAAAATGCATTATAAACAAAATCCCTTATTTTTTGAGATTTTATATAATTTTATTTGAATTTATTTTTTAAAATACCTGGCCGGTTCACCAAATTTGGCCAAAACCACTAGCCAATTCCGATCCAACCAGGCAGTTAGAATCATTGTTCGCAAAATCGCCCGATCTAACCGCTAACCGCGTGGTTAGATTGGAACCGGCTAGTGGCCGGTTCCGGTTTTGGGCGGTTAGGGTGATCAACTGGTATTTAAAAAAAAACATAAAAAAAAATGTATATAAATTCTCAAAAATAAGAAATTTGATTTGTAATGCATTTTTAAATATTCTGTACATTATGGTAAAGATTAAAAATTGTTTGGGTCATTAATACTCACTTTTATATTTTCCCATCTTTTTTAAAAAAATTTAAAAATAGCAATTGAAAAATATAACATGGGTTAAAATCCATTTTTTTCAATAATATCTTCATTTGAATGTGTTTTGTTTTAATCATTCCTTACATGCTTTTCATATTTTAATTTTTTTTTTTTGTATTTTTTTCTACACTTTTTTGATAGCTTGGGACTTGCCCGGTTAGAATGGTTGAATCGGCCGGTTTACCGGTTATGCCGGGCTACCGGTTAGGCCGGTTAAACCGCTTCCAGGCCCATGTCCGGTTAATCGTTCCGGTTCGATTTTACGAGCATTGGTTAGAATTTGAACTACCCGATTTTTCCTACATTGGTGAAACAAATGATTTAGATGGCTTTAATCCCTCATGTAGTTTTTTTTTTTTTAAGTAATTCAGTGGGAAAGTCTGGCCCCTACCCATTTTTTTAAGTAGATTAAGAGAGCTTTTTGAATGTATTAATGAGGACCACAATGTAGTAACTAGGATGGGGTGCTACCCCAGCGCCTTTCCCCTATCCCTCCATGTAGAGTGGAAAGTTGAGCATGTTCAAATGGCCATACATGGCATGCAAGTTAGAATTATTATGTGCATTGTCCCCTGTCAAATCAGCAAATATCAGAGCCAATGTTTTAAAACCCGGGTCACTGGGACAGTTCGTTTGCCCCACAAATTTGGGTCGAATCGGAAGAACGGTAATCCAGATCAACTTTGGATCGGTCTAAATTAATGATAAAATATATTAATAAATAAATAATATAGAGTAAAATAAAAATAGGAGTTTATGGGGTGAGGATTAAAAGGGACCTAAAAAAATATTACATAAATTTAAGAAAAGAAAAAAAAATTATACGATGGGGAGTTTCAGGGTAAACAAAGCCGGGACCTATACCATGCCATAACCAATTTGGTCATGACTGATTTACATCAGGATTGAAAATTGTCGGGTTTTAAAATACTAATCAAGACTAGATATATTAAGTGATATTATTTTAGGAAAGGGCAAGCTTTTTATGTTTCTCTTAGTGCATAAAACTTATATACTTCTCCCTATCCAATTGTATATTTTGAATGGAGGCCGAGATGGTTCCAACTACAATGTCATATCTCTATACTAATTTATTTTTAAATTTTTTATATAAATATTTTAACACCAAAATTTGGGCATCAACTCCTATCTTAAACTCGCACTTATAAAAAATATAATTTTTCTTTCCCTAAAACATTAAATGACCAAAATACCTTCAAAAGTTTTAAGGGTATTTTGGTTATTGTATTTTATGAAAAATGTTTTTTTAATATTTTTTTTAGGTGCACCTAAATAAGATGATAGCACGTACAAAATTTTCTATTAATATAATTTGTAGAAAAACATAACTAAAAATAAAATACTCTGAGATGTCGGATCTAGATCAAACAATCAGTTGCTCACTTGATCTAGATTGAACGGCTGGATGGGGGAAATATATATCTTGTACTTCAAGTGTAGAAACATTTCCTTTTAGAAAAACTTCAAGGTTAAAACCATTTTGGGAAAAGGCAGCGCTCATCGAAAATGTTGAGTTCCCATTATTTTGTTGTTGGATTGATTTAATGACCCCAACATCTAACATTTGTAGCCTTTATTTGTTGTTTTTGCCCACCCTATGACCGTACAGATCACAAGCATCGCATGATTTGATTTCAGTCCATAAAAGTATCCGAACATGAGGAAAATGAACCCACTTTTCCTAGGGTGCGGTTTGTTTAGCGCTGAGGCTCCAAACAATCAAATTAGAGCTTATCTTCAAATAGTATCGAGAAATGTGGTTTTAATACTAGAAAGTTTTGTGATAGCTTTAAATTATATTTTTATCTCTAGTCATACAATTTAAAGCTTAAGAAATAGTGTAGATTGAGTCGATCTATGAAAACTTGAAAATCTTAAAAATTGACAGTCCAAAAATACGTTATAAGATGCACTATTTTCAATTTTTGAAATCCATTTTTGTTTTATTTCTATACATCTTGATGTCGAGATGATCAATTTAATTATATTTGGGCAACAAAACAACCTCTTCTAGTGAAAGTTTTGAAGTAGGTTCTAATTTGAATGTTTAGAGCCTAGGCTCTATATAAACTTTTGCCTAATAGTTAATACGAGGCCCTTACTTTCTTTTCATTTAGAAATGAAAAAATAATACAAATAAAAAAACGTACTATGACCTCAACAAATTGTCAAAAGAAAGATAATGCCAATGGATTGCATGCTTAATTGGGAGCATAATGTATATTTAGTAAAACCTTAGTGCACAAAGTATTTTTACTATGGTTCCAAACTTTGGGGATATAATATTTGGGAAATGACTTTGTGAGATCCTCCCACACTCATGTGTGTGGGACCTCAAAGTATCACCATTAAATTTGGTATAGATCTTTTGAAAAGACAAAACTCGCACCTATGTGATAACTTTTTTAGAAATATGTGTCAAATTTAATGGTGTTCTTTTTGGGTCCTACACACATGGATGCGAGAAAGTCTCTTATGATCATTACTCATAATTTTTATCAGTGTAGCGACCAACCTGAGAGAAGAAGAAGTTTATACACACAGTTACCATGACTACCTAAAAAATGAAGCCCTAAAATTGAAAGAAAAGAAAAGACAAAAAAAAAGTTTTAAATGCACATAATGTCAAGGGTTCGAACTCTTGTAATTTGTTCAAAACACTCAAACAAGATATATTTGGGCAAAAACCTTTTTTTTTTTTTGGAGAAACATTAACAATTTTATTGCGTTCTGTATTAGCACCTTATCATTACAATAACCAATTGGCTCTTACCGCTAAGGAAATTGAAAAATTACAATAATTCCAATAAAAATAATTACACGTTAGATTACACAATCAATAAGCTATCAACAGACACTCTTGATTTAGCTAAACGATCCGCCTCCATATTGCATTTTCTATATATATGATCAAAGGAGGACTCCATATCAACACAACAATCAACCACTTCTCGAACCAAACTATATTAGGGCAAAAACTTGCCTC